GCTGAAAGTGAAGAGGACTTGAAGCACTTACTGATAAAGATCAAAGACTACAGCCTTCAGTATGGATTACACCTCAACATAAAGAAAACTAAAATCCTCACAACTGGACCTATAAGCAACATCATGATAAACGGAGAAAAGATTGAAGTTGTCAAGGATTTCATTTTACTTGGATCTACAATCAACACCCATGGAAGCAGTGGTCAAAAAGTCAAATGACACATGGCATTGGCCAAATCTGCTGCAAAAGACCTCTTTAATGTGTTAAAAAGCAAGGAATGTCGCTTTGAGGACAATGGTGCCCCTGACCCAAGCCATGATCTTTTCAGTCACCTCATATGCATGTGAAAGCTGGACAATGAAAAAGGAAGACCGAAGAAGAATTGACGCATTTAAATTATGGTGATGTTGAAGAATACTGAATATACCATGGGCTGCCAGAGGAACAAACAAATCTGTCTTGGAAGAAGTATAGCCAGAATGCTTCTTAGAAGTGAGGATGGCGAGCCTTGGTCTCACTTACTTTGGACATGTTATCAGGAGGGACCAATTCCTGGAGTAGGACATCATGCTTGGTAAAGTAGAGGGCCAGCAAAAAGAGGAAGACTGTCAATGAGATGGATTGACACAGTGGCTGCAACAATGGACTCAAACATACCTACTAGTGTGAGGATGGCACACGCCTGAGTAATGTCTCATTCCGTTATACACAGGGTTGCTAAGAGTCAAACTGCCTTGACAGCACCTAATAACAACAACCTGGCCCACCTTTGTTGACTATGATTTAGTTGCTTTTGTTTGAGGCATTGGTATTTTGGAAAAATAAAAATAAAAATGTTTGTAGTGTGCAGCCAAGTTTGAATTTCCCGAAGATGCTTGATCATAAGTCTCACCAAGGGACAGTTTCAGAACAAAGACTGACATGCAGGCCTCCCACGTAGGCATTCTATAGGACAGGTATGGCCCAAGAATTGCCATTTTTCCCAGGTGCCGTGGATGATTACTATGATCCTAAAGTTTGGGTGGAGGCAGTGGTGGTTCAGTGGTAGAATTCTTGCCTTCCACGTGGGAGACCCAGGTTCAACTTCTGGCCAGTGCACCTCAAGCACATCTACCACCCATCTGTCAGTGGAGGCTTGCATGTTATTGTGATGCTGAACAGGTTTCAGCAGAGCTTCCAGACTAAGATGGACTAGGAATAAAGGCCTGTTGATCTACTTCAAAAAACTCAACCAATGAAAACCCGGTGGATTACAATGATCTGATCCCGTTATGCATGGGGTCACCATGAATCAGGGGCCAACTCACCTACCGCTAGCAGCCACAACAAAGTTTGGTAAACTCTGATGAAGAGACTAAATTGGAATACAGGACTAAACAACTATGGAAAGTACTATTCAAATGTAAGTTTTTATTATCTTTCATTGTATCCACAGATGGGATGACTCCTTGACTGAAAACAGTACTGTATTCTCCTTTTGGAAAATCTGGCTCTTCTGAGCTTACAGGTGCAGCGGGTACCTATATCGGGAGGGCCGTAAGAGAAAGGAAACACCTTTCCAACCTGAGAAATCATTAGAATCAACCGTGGGACCAGGGTGCTGGCATTTGGTAGTTCCCATTCTTTCATACAGAGACTATTTGAGTAGAAAACTGTTTGTGTTCTCATGAGATCATAATCCTGTTTTTCAGAGCGAAATCAGTAGATTTCAGGTAGGCCTTCTAAGATAGGTTGTCCCAAACTGCCTACTGTGGTGTGTTAGTTCTATCTGAGGGTCATAATCCTGGGAGAAAGATAATTCCATGAGAAAGGAGTTGTGTGGACAAGTGATTTGGGGAAAAAACACATTTAATATTCTTCTTTTGGAGATCCACAGCACACATTAGCACATTAAAGGCTCTGATAAATCGTACATGCCTAGTTAACATTGTTTAATCCAATATTTTCCAAATCAATTTTACTATAGAATTCTTTCATTTGTTTGTTTAAGCAGGGATATCTGTTCACATCTGGAGAGCTGCTCCTTCAAGAAATCCTGAAAACCATTGTTCTAAGGTACAAATATTGAGCTGGCATTTTGGAGACTTATTTATGGGATTTAATACGGATGACAAGGGATGGGTATTTATACTATGAGGATGAAATTAAAATAAAAATTGGGTATATTGGAAAAATGCACCTGTTTAATAACTGGTGCAAATAACCACATAGAAAATAGAAAAGGAATTTTATGTTTTATATGTCACTGTTTATAGTGTGGGATTTAGAGAATCATCCAAGTTATAGAGCTGTAATTTCTGAATCAAACACTAGGCATTTATTAATACTATTATTTATTTTTATTTTGTTAGTTGCTGTGAACACTGCAAAGGGATATGGGGCAAAGAGCTTATAATTGATTTGTGGTGTTAATAGCTAATATTTATTGAGTCTTTAATATGTGCTAGGATCCATTCTAGTGCTTTTTATATATTATCTCACTTAATCCCCACAATAGCCATAGAAGGTAAATACTGATATTATCCCTGTGTTGTCTGAGGCACAGAGTGGTTCAAGAACTTCTCTAAGTCACACTGTTAGTAGGTGGTGAAGCTGGGATCTAAAACCAGGACGTATGACTCCAG